TATCTATCTATCTATCTATCTATCTATCCATCTATCCATCTATCCATCTATCCATCTATCCATCCATCCATCCATCCATCTATCTATCTATCTATCTATCTATCCCTATCCCATTACTCTCTCTCTTTATCTATCTCTCTCCATCTATACACACACACTGTCTTTCCTATGCCCAAGGCAGTTTATAAATCCAAATTAAAAACAAAACAAGAACAACCCCACACAATCCCCTCTCCCCAAAACACTGCCGACACGCTTATCGGTTTTATTTATTTACATTCTTTTGTACCCTGCCTTTCTCCCCCAAAGCAGCTCACATCATTCTCCTCTCCTCCATTTTATCCTCACACCATCCCTGTGAGGTAAGTAATCGGGCTATTGCAATTTGGGCCGGCTCCAGTCTATGTGCTGTCTTCAAGGGCAGCCCCAAGTAGGGTGTGTTACAGTAGTCTAACTGGGAGGTTACCTAAGTATGGATCGGCACAGCCAGATCTGCTTAAGCAATGCTCCCTCTAAGCTGTGGAGTCCTGTGAGCAAAAATTCTACTTTGTGAGCTACCGGCATTTAAGTTGTGAGCGAGCGATTTGCGTGCTGCATAAATTAGTCTGCTCTGGAGCCCTCCTTCCTGAGCTAAGGCAAAAATGCGTGAGCCGGGGGCCAAAAAACTGTGACCAACTCACACTAACTCAGCTTGGAGGGAACACTGCTTAGGAAAGTTTAGGAAAGGAGAAAGCTGGTGAGCAACTGCAGCTGAGAAAAAGGCACTCTTGGCCACTACACCCACCTGCTTTTCAAACAGCAAAGCTGGGTCCATGAGCAACCCCACACTCTTCCCCTCCCCTGCATGGTGTAGTGGTTAAAGTGTCCCTCTAGGATCTGGGAAATCCAGGTTCAAATCCCCAGTTGTGCCACGGAAGCTTGCTGGGTGACCTTGGGCCAGTCACGCATTCTCATCCTAGCCTACCTCACAGGGTTGTTGTGAGGATAAACCTGGAGGAGAGGAGAATGGTGTAACCAGCTTGGGGGTCCCCATTGGGGGGAAAGGTGGGATATAAATAAAGTAAGTTAAAAAAATGAAATAAAATCAGGCCAGCTCTGCTCTGTCCACCACAAACGGATCCAGTCCCTCCTAAACATCACGCTCTTTGGCCATCTTCTGGCTGGAAAAGCAGAATAGAAATAACCAATTGTTGGAGGTTAATTTCCAAAGTGCTTGGATGGTAGAGTTTGTAATGCAGAATTCCCGTCCAGGGCTTTTCCTCCAGGAGCTGCTCCCAGAGCTTGCCAAAGCAACCCCGATAGCATAAATGTAGCCCTGGCAGCTGTTTCTGATAGAGAAGTGCTGAAGTCCAGGAAAACCTCAGCTAGAACAAAGTTTTGTTAGTCTTTCAGATGCCGCCAAGCCTCTGCCTAATTTTTGCCACAGCAGACAAAGGCTGCAGTCCTGAACACACTTACCTGGGAGTAAACCGCCACTGAACCCAGCGGGACTTCCTGCTGCAGAGAGACAGTTTGATGTAGTGGTTAGGAGCGCGGACTCTCATCTGGGAGAACCGGGTTTGATTCCCCACTCCTCCACATGCAGCTGCTGGCGTGACCTTGGGTCAGTTACAAGTTCTTTCAGAGCTGTTCTTTCAAGGGCAGTTCTTGAAAGAGCTCTCTCAGCCCCACCTACCTCACAGGGTGTCTGTTGAGGGGAGGGGAAGGGGAAGGAGTTTGTAAACCGCTCTGAGACTCCTTTGGGTAGTGAAGGGCGGGGTATAAATCCAGTATCCTCCTCCCTCTCTTCTCCTTCTTCTTCAGCATACACTAGATGGCGCTGTAACATGGTTTACTTCTGGGATTATAGTTCGAGTAAGACACAAGAGCCCTAATGAAATCACAGCACCATCCTGGTCAGAGTTACACCCTTCTAAACGGATGGGTTCATCCCACCATTTACTCCCACCGGCAACAATAGGGACTTTCTCCCAGATATAATCCCATTGCAGTTTGAGCTGGGTAATGACTCTAAAGGGAGCTGCGGTGGCTCAAGTGGTTAAGACGCTGAACTGCAGGCTGTGGAAGGTCAGTAGTTCAGCAGTTCGAGACCCAGGTGCCTCATGATGGAGTGAGCTCCCATCTCTAGTTTCAGCTCCTGCCAACCTAGCAGTTCGAAAGCAAGAAACTGCAAGTAGATAAATAGGTACCACCTCGGTGGGAAGGGAACAGCGTTCCGTGCGCCTCGGTGTTTAGTCATGCCGGCCACATGACCACGGAAACGTCTTCGGACAGCGCTGGCTCTTCGGCTTGGAAACGGAGATGAACACCGCAACCCCGGAGTCGGACTCCATTGGCTTTCAAGCAAGAGGGAACCTTTCCCTTTACCTTTAATGACTCTAAATGCCTTAAAGCTTCCCATTCAGGGCTATCTAATCCGGAGGGATGCTGAAAGCCCTCCTCAGGACCACGCTGTCTTTCTTCCTGCCTTCCCCAGGGGAGTTTATTATTGGGCTACAGATGTGGAGCGATCCTGAATCAGGAAGAAGCGCCCGGACATCTCCCGGCTTTCCCCTCTCCTTGACCGTTCTGCCGTCACCTCGCAAAGACCGCACAGAGACGTATTGTTGTGTAATAAAAAACCCCCCAATCAACTCACTCATCCGGCTTCTAGGGATGAAATGCCAGTTTCGAATTAGCCACCCGAGGTTCTCACCAAGGTCTCAACGGAAGAATGGGAGGGTTCTAGAGACGCCGGTCTGGATTCTAAGCACAGAGCAGAGGTCTGCAGCGTTGTGGCTCCAGAACCAAATCTGGCACTTTAGAAAAAGAAAGTGAAATCTTTCAGGTACATTGGGGAGGGTAGGTGGGACGGGCCAGGGTAGCCCGATCTCATCTGATTTTGGAAGCTAAGCACAGTCGGCACTGGCTAGTATTTGGATGGGGGACCTCCAAGGAACACCAGGGGCACGACTCAGAGGCAGGCAATGGTAAAACACCCTCTGTATGTTTCTGGCCTTGAAAAACCTACAAGTCGCCCTAAGTCAGCTGTGTGGCTTGACGGCACTTTCCACCACCAGGTAGGATACTAGAAGGACCAGACTGTAAAAGGAAAGGGAGGCAAGATGTTGTATGGGGTTGGAATCATAGAATCATAGAGTCGGAAGGGACCTCCAGGGTCATCTAGTCCAACCCCCTGCACAGTGCAGGAAATTCACAAATACCTCCCCACACACACACCACCAGTGACCCCTGCTCCATGCCCGGACGATGCCAAAAACCCTCCAGGATCCCTGGCCACACTGGCCTGGAGGAAAATTGCATCCTGACCCCAAAGTGGCGACCAGCATTGCCCTGGGCGTGTAAGAAAGGGCCACGAGAACTAAGCACTGATTAACGAGCTTCTCAGTAGAGATGTTGGCTCCAGCTTGGGAGATCCCTGGAAATGGGGGTGGTTGGGGTGAAGCCTGCGGAGTGCCAGGTTGGGGGAGAGGGAGGAAGCCCAGTGAGAATGTGATGTCACTCTAGGACTTCTATTTCTCCTAGACCAATGGTGGCGAACCTATGGCACGGGGGCCAGAGGTGGCACTCAGAGCCCTCTCTGTGGGCACGCGTGCCATCGCCTCAGCCAGGCCCAGACCATCATTAAAGTGTCGAATTCTCTGCCAAATAATGTTAAGTAAATGAAAGCATTTGGGATTGCTTGCCTTACTTTGTTTGGATCATCTTAAGTTAATGTATGAGTTGTTTTTTCTAAAGTAAAACCTCAGTATTCAGGTTAAATTGCCGTGTTGGCACTTTGCGATAAATCAGTGGGTTTTGGGTCGCAGTTTGGGCACTCGGTCTCTAAAAGGTTCACCATCACTGTCCTAGACTCTCTGGTTTAGGCAGGGCTGTAGCCAGGAATTTTTTTTTACTTAGGGGGGCATTTAAATAAGTTGGGTGGCACCCCTGCACACACACCCAGGCACGTATTGTGGGGCAATTTTTTTTCTTCTGGGGCATCCATCATCCTTATACTTAAAAATAATAAATAACGACATTTTGGGAGTGCGGCCTGAGGATAACAGGGTTTGGGGAAGGGGAGGGACTTCACTGGGATATAATGCCATCATAGAGTCCACCTGGAGATCAGGTGTAATGCCATCACCTGGAGACTGGGAACCCCAGGAGAGAGATTGGCTCCCCACCACCATCACCAACCCACCTCCACCTCCCCTGCCATGGAAAGTTATAGGGAGAGACACGCAGGGCCCTATTTGTAGCAGGAGCTCCTTTGCATATTAGGCGACACACACCCTAATGTAGCCAATCCTCCAAGAGCTTACAGTAGCCCCTGTAAAAAGAGCTCTGTAAGCTCTTGGCAGTTCGAAAGCAAGAAATTGCAAGTAGATAAATAGGTACCACTTCGGTGGGAAGGGAACAGCGTTCTGTGCAGCTTGGTGTTTAGTCATGCCGGCCACATGATCATGGAAACGTCTTCGGACAGCGCTGGCTCTTCGGCTTTGAACCGGAGATGAGCACCGCAACCCTAGAGTCGGACTCGACTGGCTCTCGAGCAAAGGAACCTTTACCTTTAAGCTCTTGGGGGATTGGCTACAATAGGGGTGTGTCGCCTAATAGGCCAAGGAGTTCCTGCTACAGAGAGAGAGAGAGATTGGCTTCCCCATCACCATCACCATGCCCTCTCTCTCTCTCTCTCTCTCTCTCTCTCTCTCTCTCTCTCTCTCTCTCTCTCTCTC